GACTTTCGAAAGCCCTTTGAGTCTATTTTGTTTTGTTTCCTATCTCTTTCAGAACATGCTTCTAGAACTTTCATCTGTTATGAAAAAATAATGCATGCCTCGGGCCAGAAAACAGGACCTTGGAGCAACTGGCGCCTGCAGCAGAAAAGTTGTACCTGGTCAGCTTACCCCGAGGGAAGAACTCCGGGAACCGTCCCCTCCACAGAAACACACACCCAGCGATGGGTGTGTGCAGGGTGCTCCCAGCTGGGCTCACCCCACACAAGAGGCCCCTCCCTGGTGGGGCTGGGGCCAGCCCCGCACAGCCCCGGTTGGCCTCACTTTCTCACTGTCTGCGGCAGGTTCTGTGCGCAGGCAGGGATCAGGCAGGGAGGAAGTGGGCACCATCGGAAGAGTCTAGGAGTAAGAGCTGCTGTCATCCCGAGGGGAGAAAGATTGGGATGCAGCCACCTGTTTCCCACCCAGCAGCCCAAGGGGACATGTTGCTGAGAGGCCACTGGAGCTCTGCTGCAGTGGCAGCAGCAACAGTTTGGACACTTGAGCACGGGTCCAGAGCAGGCCAGGAACTTCCTGTCTGTGAAGAAGATGTTGAAGAGAAACCTTCATTTTTTTTCCCTTTCATTAGTTCATTTCTTAGGGATGAATCAGCTGGATTTTTGTCCATAAAGGTCATGACATAAAATACTGATTAGCCCTAGCCTGTGTGGCTCCGTTGGTTGGGTGTCATCCTGCAAACCAAGAGACTGTGGGTTAGATTCCCAATCAGGGCGCATGCCTGGGTTGTGGGTTCAGCCCCTGTCAGGGCATATACAGAAGGCAACCAATTGATGTTTCTCTCTCACGTTGATGTTTCTATCCCTTTCTTTCTCCTGCCTTTTACCTCTCTCTAAAATAAAAAAAAAATGTCCTTTGGTGAGGACTAAAAAAAAGAAAATTAAAAAATATTGTTTATAACTGGCAAACATGAACACTGCGTGATTTTATACTTTATCCTTCTGCGGGATCATGCATTGTCAGTGGGGGCGCCACGACTGCAGGCCCACAGCTGCCCCATGGGACCTCATTCCAGACTTCTGGGGAGTGACTGCCGCAGACACCTCTTCCTCATCCTGCCCATCCTGCCAGAGGTCCTGCCATCCAGCAAAGGTGCATCAAAAAGCACTTACTGCTTCATTAAAAAATGATTTATTTATTTTTAGAGAGAAGGGAAGGGAGGGAGAAAGAGGGAGAAAAACATCAATGGGTGGTTGGTTGCCTCTTGCACATCCCCCACTAGTGATGCAGCCTGAAACCCAGACATGTGCCCTGATTGGGAATTGAACCAGCCACCCCTTAATTTGCCAGCCAGCACGCAGTCCACTGAGCCATACCAGCTGGGGCCAGTTAATGCTTCTCACAGAGCACAGAGACATGGCCACAGCGGTGAGATATGCACTAATTAGCCCATCACTAGGCTGACTGGTGCTGAGTTCTGAGAGCCATAAAGGTGAGCTCAGCTCCCATGGAAGAGCTATTTAGCTCCTCCATCCCATGGCCAGACTGTCCTCCAGTCCTGGCTACACACCCTGTGATAAAGGCTTCAAGTCATTAGGAGAATCAATTTGGTGCAGTGTCAAAAGCTCTGCATCATCTATGTCCTGTGAGATAAAATCCAATCTCTTTAGCCTGGCACACACAAAGCCTTTATGTCCAGGCCCATGCCTCTGACCTTGCTCTCCACCGCTTGCACCTTAACAGCTGCTTGCAGCTCTTGCTCCCTGCTGTCCTTGCCCACAGAGTGGTGGGATGCTGGACAACTTCCATCCACTGTGCACTGCCTTTCGGGGACCCTTTGTTTATGGATGCAGTTCCAGGAGCTCCTTCTCAGCCAGCCCTCCATCCATCATGCCTTTTTTTCTGTCAGCCTTGTAATTATAGAGCAGGTACTTTTTTTGTGTGTAAAATTTAAATATTTTGTTTTAAAAAAGCACACTAGATGCAGTTTATTTCTAGGAAGCACCTTTTAACCATCCGAGGTGAGCTCCCCTGAGCTGGGACAGTCTTCTGCCCTTGGACTGGGACTCTCTTCATCGGCTTTGTAGTTCTGAGAAGTATACCACTGGCTATTCTGGGTCTCCAGCTTGCAAAACGTAGACTGTGGGACTTTTCAGTTTCCGTAATTGTGTGAGCCAATTCCTTATGATTACTCATATATATCAATATCTCTTTGTTTCTCTATTTTTTCTCTCTTCAATATTTTCTATTGGTTCTGTCTCTCTGGGGAACTCTAACTAATACACGGGGTAACTGCCCGGGTGGGACTGGTCTATGCTTCTAGCCCAAATGGCTCCTGAGTCCATTCGCAGCTGTGGAAAGAGTGTGGCAATGTGAAGGAGTATGACCTGTTCTGCAGTGAGCTGGTAGAAGAGCCAGTGAAGACCAGGTGGGTGGAAACACCACTGGGCCCACGTCCCAACAGATGCCCTTTTAAGGGGTATGCCATATTCCAGGTGCTGAGGACATATTATCTATACCTTGTACAACTGTATGAAGTTTTTGTTCATCTCCATATTTTTTTTTTAGATCAGAGAAGGCTCAAAGAAATTAAGTACTCTGCCCTACAGCTAAAGGTCACACAGCTGAAATGCATGCTGTGCAGCTGGAATTCTAACCCAGGTCTCTGCTCCAAGGCGATGTTTCTTCTAGGAAGCCCTGCTCTTTTTCTGGTCTACAGCAATCAGCAGGCCCTGGGCAATTATTTATTTGCACATCTGTCTGCCTAACTAGCCCAATGAAAGCTTTAAGGATAAGGCCTGTGCATTTAAAATCTTGGATGTACAACATGTAGCCCAGGGTTGAATGAATGTATGTTTATGAGTAGAGGCCCAAAGTAATACCTCACCCATCACTTCCAATACTCCAGTCTTTATTCCTCAGTCACTGGGTGCTGTCATGACTTGTCGATGGCTGTATTACATGAGATTCTCTCAGAAGCCCATGTAGCATCACTTAAAACATTTTTTTGTAATTTAAATTTCTTTCACCCTCAAAAGCCTTTACAGGTCATCAACTGCACGGCATAAAGAGAGGTTAAAAAGTTTAAAAGCATTCAGTGTAAAATGTAGTACTTCCCATAAATTCTGGCATGTCTCTGAAGGTTTCCATCCATTGCTTTAGGACGAGGGTCACTGCCTCAGAGATGCACCTGTCACCAAGGGGAAAGAGTGAGAGCTAATCATGAAGAACCTGTGATGCCTCTTTCTGGTTGACTAAGCAGGCCAGGGGGCAGGAGTATGTTGGGCTCTGTAGGAGCCAGAGGTGGGGGTGGGGACAGAAGGTATCATGCCTTTGAGTCAAATGAAAGGAAAGGCACTTGCATAATGGGATGTGAAATGAACTCCATCTGTCTGGGCCTTGATTCTTTGACAGCAGGAAGTATCCCATTCATTTATACAGAGAGGTCATGGTGCTCAGCGGGGAGAACTGGAAACCCATCCCACTCTGGGCACGGTCACAAGCTGCTGTAAAACATCAAGCACAATCTTGCTAATGCATCCTAATTGAGGGGCAGGGGTGCTGGGCTGGAAGAGTGAACATTCTAGAACTGTTTCAAAGAATAGCAGAGTTATTTCCAAATACATGCAGCAGAAGGGTTGGCAGTCTGAGAATCCCCATGCCCAGAGGTGAATATGGCTTGCCCCTCAGGTGCGCATTCAGAGTGGGAAGGAAGTGGGTGCTGCCCATTTGGGGCTGGACGCTGTCTGAGTGCTTCCCCTCTGTGGGACATAACAGCTTTATTCTGTACCCAACCACGACTGTCATTCCTGCCACAAGCACAAACATCAGGGAGGAACGGGCAGCAAATCTGTCAGTTCTAAGGGACCAGGTTTTCCTACAGAAAATTTTGGGACTATGACCCACTTGTCTTTTCCAGAGTGGATTGAATGACTTTATGTCTTCAGGCAGAAGACTGTATTTTTTACCTTTCATGCCTAGAATGTTAGGAATGTGGTGTTTCCAGAAGAGCACACATTTGCAAATCTCATTACATGTTCCCTGGAAGCAACCCCCCACACCCCCATGGGACTCATTAGGGTGCTTTCAGAGATTTACTAAGGGAGCATAGTTCACGGATTTTTAAAAAAGTTTTATTTATTTATTTTTAGAGAGGAAGGGAGGGAGAAAGAGAGAGAGAGAGAAACATGAATGTGAGGTTGCTGGGGACTGTGGCCTGCAACCCTGGCATGTGCCTTGGCTGGGAATCAAACCTGCAATGCTTTGGTTTGCAGCCCACGCTCAATCCACTGAGCTACGCCAGCCAGGGCTAATTCACGGATTTTTAATTTCAGTTTTCCCACCTGATGCATGGGGCGCGGCCACGTGCTTGGTGAAACCCAGACCTGGGCAGCAGCGCCTTCTCCGGACATCATTTGAATCCATGATTCACAGGCTCACTGGCCGCTCAACCCAACCGCTCCTGGGTCCAGGGCAACTTAAAGCTGTCTGGCCCGCCCAGCGTTCAGTATCTTGTTTTCCTTTGATGTCAAAATCCGAGACTAAACTACCACATATACTTTTTTCGTTCAATTGTATTTACTCCCTAACCACAATTCTAAACTCCTTGTTCTGCCCCTCATTGTACCTTAGTGTGGATTTAATGCCCTTTTCCTCCCTTCCTTTCGTTCAGCTTTTTGCGGGAGGTAATTGTTAGATTCACGCGCTGTTTTGAGAAACGATACCGTTATCGCAGCGCCCCCAGTGGTGATGTTTGGCGACGGCCACCGCACCACACCCAAACCAGCAAATTGGTTTTATCTGTTCTCATAGGCGTTAGGGATCTTTAAAATTCAGAGTTGAGGAACCACATTAGCATTGTCACATTTTTTATATGTCTAATCATATTAATCAGGTAGCAGGCAAAGGTCCAAACTAGAGGAAATATGGCTTCTCTGGGAGAAAAGATGTCCTGAGGCTACCAGCATATGACCTGAACACAGGGACCCAGAGCGGAGAAATCCGGCTTACAATGCATAATGATATGTCTTTATTTCATCAACAGAAATGGTGTCTAGACAAAATTCAGTTAACACTAGCAATTCAACTGAGTGAAAATTTTTTGCACGATAGTGTATTTACAACGAATAAATGAAAATTCAATTCATTAGTTCATAGCAACGCACTTTTTTTCCCCCAAAAAGGTAAAAATTCTTAGTTACAGAGAATAAGCATCAACAGCCATTTTCATTTTTACAATAAAAACCACAAGGAAAACCACAATCACTTAGGAAAAAAAAAGACAAGCCTAAGAACTAGTACAATAAAATGATGCACTGAATTAAGTTACATTAATCGCATAGAATCTGTGTAAAAAGTATGTAGAAAAACACCTGATGTAACCTGTTACAGTCGTTGACCAGTTATGAGAGGTACAGAGGGTTATACAGGTAGATATGTGTGAAAACTGTCCGTATTGTTCAACCTGGGGAGGAAGAGAAGAGGGGCTGGAGCCCCTTGCATACACTGAGAAGACCCTGTTTTGAATATGGCCTCTGGAGTTTGTAAGGCATATATTAGAGGTGCACTTGCATCAGACTGGTTCTGGAACAAATCCTCACAGGCCCTTCTGGCCTCACAAGCAAAGGTGGCATCTAACCAGCACCTGAAGCTCCCAAATGCATCTGGAATCTTCCTGATCATGCACTAGAAGTGGCAGGTCTTTTACGTCAGAGCGTGAATGGGCACCCCAGCATTCACACATGCAAAATGCATTGTTGGGGCTCAAGTAGAGGTCACCCCTCTGCCTCCAGACATGTTTTGGTAGAAGACTTAGCATCAATCTGTGGGAAAAGCCCTCTTCGTCCAAGTCCCTTCACTCTTTCCTGATACACATGTCCGATTGCCCGCATGAGAGCATTTGGCACTGAATGCGAGTCTACCTGAAATGAACGGTCTTGGTGCACTTCTGCTTCTAGAAGGGCCACTGTGTCAGCTGAGGTCAATAAACTGGAATGAAAATGTAAGTCAGAGTTGCTTATCCATTGCTCGATAGTGAAATGCGCACACCACACCACAACATTAAATCAAAGCTACAAAAGTGGGCCTCTGCAACCAAGTGGGTATTCTTCACCAATGGCAGCATCATTTCTGTATTACAATTAAAATACACCGATAGTCATTTGATATAAATATTATCTCCCAGAGTGGAGTGTAGGAAAATACTATACACTTACTTTTCTTTGCAAGAAATGTTTTGCGCCGTCGGTTGAATAATTTATCCTTAGTCTGCCACAATAGGTCTTTTCTATGTACAAATACTATTTGCACACACTATTTGCATACAAATATGTTCTATTCTGCAGCATCAATGCTTGATGCCTGGGTCATGAGGTGGCTCGGGCAGTATTAAAAACATGCAGCTTGAACACAGAATGTTCCCATGCACACGGACTTCCTGCCCAGGCACCCACTCCTTGCAGGGCACCGCACTGTGCACTCACTTGCCAGAGACTGAACCTACAACAACACCCTCAATTTGGGGAAGAAACACTAACTCATGATTCAGTGAACAGCTTTATTGTTTAAGAAAAAAAAACCCAACTATGTTCTTTAGTTTATTTACAGTGGTGAGAACAATGCTTGATTCCTGCTTCCTTCTAGATCTGGGACCCCTCCCAAACTAAGCAATAGTGGAGCAGTTTGAAGTCATTTCCTAAGCAGCTCCCAGTTTAAACGGGGTCTAACTCATGGAGCTAGGTAGCCAAAAACGGTCTGGAAAGAGTGTGGCAGGCTTCCCTTGTTCTGAGAGGGAAGCTACTGCACAGCACATGGGTCATCTCACAGGGGCAGGACTTGGTGGTTTCTTAACAAGGCTTAGAACTTTCACACCTTTGTTTGTTTCTTCTACTTTAACAGCAATGATAAAATATTAAAAGAGTAAGTGTAGGTTTAGACCTCTTGACAATAGCATTGAACTTTCCTTTGTGCCCACTTGACTGTTAGCAGTCCCCTCAGGCAAGTCCTCTAGCGGCTAGCTGCCCTCCTTTTCAAGAAGCGGCAGTTGGCATACTAACCGCTAGCCATTCTTTTTTTTTTTTTTTTACTTCCTTGGGAAAGCAATACAAGGATTAAATCCAAAATCATAGTGCATCTTGTAAGCAGCATACTTTTAGAAAGACAGTTAATAAATTACTTGTACAATATACAAAATAACATTTTCTACTGCAGCATCACCTCTGACGCCTGAGTCATTGTTAGCGAACCCGGAAGAGAAGGAGGAGGGCCTAGCAACTTCGCCAGCTTCTTCTTCTTCTTTTTTTTTTTTTGCAACTGTTTTGTTCCAGAATCAGTATGTAATGAAGTTAGATTATTCAAGGCACCCCCAGATAACGCAGAGAAACAAACACACATGGCAAAGCACTCGCCTGCCCAGAGCCTGACCAACCTGAATGAAGCGAGGTTGTTGGGGACACGTGCAGAGCGAAGGCAGATCCAAGGGGAGGACTAGACTCAGGTGATGTTAACTCATCACAGGGCCACCTCCACTGTCCCTGCCCAACAGCCCATGCCAATCCCAGACATTCCGAGACCCGCCTAGGCTGTCGTACGGATCCTCCCAAACAGTCTGTGGCTGCGGGGTCTTTGTTTTGGTCAGGAAGACCCTAAAGAACACAACTGGGTGTCACCATGTTGTGCAAGCACTGCCCCTTGTGGTGAACTTGCTTTTCCTTCTCACAAGAGGCACGGGCTTCACAAAGGGATCCCAGGGAAAGGAATCAGGCCGGTTTTTAGAATTCCACTTGAGACAACTGGGATTCTGGTCCCCAGCTAGTCCTCCCTTTGAATTAACCCAGAAATAATTCAGACAAACACATGGTTTAGAGTAGTAACAGACACAGACAGATCACATTGCACAAAACCAGTCACTGTTCATGGTGGATAGTGAACAAATTCGTAGCAATTCAGTAAAAATCATGAAGAAATCGAAAGACAGTTTTTCAAGAAGTGTTTTTAACCAGTTCCCATGACAGAGGTTCAGCTGGGAGAGGAATCAAAGTGAGGTGGGGGCTGGCAGACTGCAGATGTGGACTGAGTTAGGGGGAGAGAAAGAAAGAGAGCCCCTCGAACCCGGACATGGTGCGGTGCGGGCGTGTGCGGACCGAACCACATGAAGGGTGGGGTCAGGGGAGCGGAATGTGGTCAAGACTACCAGTTGCACATGAGTTGAGACCAGGGAAAATCATGCCAACAAGTTGGTTTGGACCTGGTTATGACATGAGCAGAAAACATTCCTTTTTTAAAAGAAGAGGAGGTCACTTAAAAAAGGCAATGAGAGAGCTGAAAAACCAAAGGACTGTTGGCTGACTCCACCATAACACACATCTGTGATGGATCACGTGATTCGCGCGGAGTCTGAACGGGAGCGGTCACTGGTGTCCCACAGAGGCACACCTCACGGTGAGGCGCAGGACCGGTCTAGTGGGCCAAGGAACTCCTGCAGCCGCAGCAGCGATGGTGGGTCCACCACAGGCACACACGGGCACACACAGACACACACACACATGACAAACAACGAAAACCCAGAGGCAGGTTTTAAAAGTGGAGCTAGTTTAAAAAAGAAAAGCCTTTTTTAAAAGAAAATATCCTATCGCATGAACCAACAGATTTCTGGCAATCATACATATTTAAACATTTAGCGCTAATATTTGTACAGAAAAGGTTAATAATACTAAAACATATGTTACTATGGTTTCACTTTTCGCCTACATCATACACTAATTCCCTCTTTTACATGCAGCTTTAATATTGTCCAAACAATGGCACAAATAAAGAAACAAAGTCACCCATCAAGTCCCACTGCCCACCACCCCATCCCCACATCAAACCCTTGGGGGCCCTTCCCACAGCCAGGCTGGAGGCCCGCTGGAGGGGGCACTGACTTCTCCTCTGTGGCCGTGGGACCTCAGCACGCCTTCTGTAAACGCAGCCAGAGACCAACATGCCCCCTGGGCCAAGGGAAGCTGCTCTCTGCGGGTTGCAAGCCAACCAGTTTTGCAGCGAGAAGAAATTATCATCAGGTGCAGGAAGGCGTGTGTGTGTGTGGTGGGGCAGGGGCAAGGAGGGCTCCTGGCCATGTCATGTCCGAAGCCTCAGAATGAAATCTGCCTTGGGACAAGAGACTGGCGGAAAACCTCAGAATTCAACTCAAAACATTTGGAGAAGAAAGGGAGGAAAAATGCTTTTGCCTGTGTCAGGGACAGACCTCAGGCTCACTTCTGCCCTGCTCTCTCCTACTCTGGGTGACCTGCACTGACCCAGGACAGCCACTTAGGGGGCCGGGCCTTGGGGCTGCAGTTCAAATCCCCTCAGGCTCGATCTCCTGGGAGCCCAGTCCTGGTCAGCCAAGTCCTTCAAAGCACAAAGTCTTACTTCACTACACTTCCAGGAGCAAGTGAGGCCTGAGGAAGTGTTGAAATGAATGGGACTTACTCCCTGGGGGAGAACATGGTTCTGACTTGATTTCTAGGAGTCAATGCCTGCTGAGTTCTGGTACAGAACCATGGATTCCTACTGCTTTGATGTACTTACTGGTGTGATGCCCAGACTCTTTCCCCTCTTAGGAATCTGAACATCCAGCGTCAGCTCTGAACTCTCTATCTGCATTTCAGCTTCACTTAGGGAAAGGTGGGGAGGAGGTGAAATATAAAAATATTCAAGCAGATTATTGTCGACACATCCTAGGATGAATTCATTATTTGGCAAGATTGTTTTTCCTACATAATTATCACCTGAGTGGTTTTTAATTAGCTAAAATGTTCTACTTTTAAACTAAAAGTAAAGAATATACAGTATACTTGAGTTATACTGAAGTCACAACTTCATTTAAGAAAATAGGTTTGACCCAAAACTCAGTGCAAGTGGCAAAGTTGACCGTGACTGTTCAGTGTCTGCAAAAACCAACCAACCAACCATGACACTCAAGGGGTGCCCCCGGCGGGGCCGAAACCAGACCGCGTGGATGGGTGCAGCCGCTGAAATGAAACCTTAACAGAAAAGCTTCCAACACTGAATTCTGTCCATAAATAAGTAGAAACTGATGTCGAACTGTGAATCAAGAAAATGGACCATGTTAACAGTTACTGAACTAGTTCTAGCATCAGAGACAACGGAAGCGGAATGTTGGAACCTGTTCATGAATGAGAAAGGAAGTTTCCAGTTTTAATGAGAAAATCGAGGCATGCAGGACTTTTGCATATGGAGATATATATATTTTTATATATATTATATATAATATGTACAGTCTAGCTATAAAACTTTGATGTGTATAGAAGCTGTCTTCAATGAAAAAAATTGAACATTCAGAAGAAATTCCTGAGATAGGGTTTGTGACATGGGCCACTGAGAAAACAATCTGTGGTTGGGTCCTAGAGGTGTTATAGTCTATCCCTGTTAAGATTGAAGTTAACCCACAGACAGACAGTGTCATCACTGTTGTCTTTCCTTGCCGGGGCAAGGGGTAGCACCATTGCGAAGGTAACTATATATCACTCCTGCGTGAAGAGAGGAGGGAATACTCAGAATCAGTATTGCTGCTAAGAAACGCTGTAGTGTGCACCAAATTCCTTCTTGGTTCTTCCAGACAACAGATGAACAGCGCCCCCTGGGTGGGAGGGGTGTGAGAGGTGGGAGGCAGGCCAGGTCACTAGGTGTAATCTTTCCTGGGCTGTTCGTCAGTCGTACACTTATCAGTCATTTCCTGGCAGAAGTCCACGGTCACCGTTTGGGTCCTGGGTTCCAGAGGAGGTCCTCTCTCTGAGAAGGTTCCTGGGTCAGTGCCTTCGAGCCTCCGGGCAGAAGTACAATTCTCTGAGGTGTTGCTAGGGGCCCAGGGGGGCCCAGGGGGAGCTGCACCTTGCTCCAAACAGCAGGGCACAGTTTCCCCCACCGCACACTGAGGGGCGGCGAGGTTCTGCTCAATGCCTAAGGGCGCAGGGCTCACACTGGAGGCTGTGGGGAGGCCCACGGGTCTGAGCACAGGACAGTACCGATGCAGCGCCTGGATCTGCTCGGGGCTCTGGATGTCGCGGCAGACTTCCTGGGAGAGGCAGGAGAAGTTGTCCAGCAGCTCCCCCATGCAGGCTTTTAGCTGGTTCCTCTCTGACAACAGCTTCTCTTTCTCACACACCTGGACATCAGAGACACAAGACAGGGCCTGGTCAGGCCTGACCGGAGGACTCAAGACCTCGTTTCTGGGGGCTTTCCAACTTTTGTTTCTGCATAGTGCATTATGGTCAGGAATGACTAGGTCAGGATCTAGAAACTTAAAAAACATATACCTGGGGAGCCTGGGCATGTACTTCCGCCACATCTCCTATCTGAGCAGCCCCTCCAGATGTCCCACTGATCCTGACCCCTTCCCTGTGACAGCTCTTCATGCCTCTTGGTGGCCTGGTCAGGTGACCAGAAAAATCAGCACCAACCAGAAAACTGCTGGGAGTGCAGGTTCCAGTTTCTTGGAATTTGGAGTTTGCAGAGAATCAATGGGAAAACTCCTGGTTCCACACCTTGTAGCTGAAATTCTCCCCTAGATGTATTAGATTGCCAGTTTTGGAGGTCAAAATTAATTGACCAAGGTGAAACCGTGGAGACGGTGAACAGATCAGTGGTGGCCAGGGAGGGATCTGGGGTGGGTGGGTGGAGGGAGGGATGAGCAGGCAGAACACAGAGAACACACGTTCTCCTGTTATTGTGCATGCATCCACACCCGCAGCACGCACGCTGAGAGTGAGCCCTCACGTAACTGTGGGCTTCGGGTGATGACGTGTCAACACAGGTTCCCCAGTTGTAACAGGCGTTGTAGCGGGTGGGGCATGTTGCTAATGGGGAAGGCTGTGAGTGTGTAGGGGCAGGGTGCATATGGGAACTCTGTGTTTTCCATTCAATTTGGCCATGAACCTAAAACTTCTTTAAAAAAGAAAGTGTATTGAAAAGGAAAATTAAAAACAGTGGACAACAGGCAATTTCATACGGCTCAATCCAACATCAGCAGGCTCTCCTGCCATGGCAGCCAAAAGACTGAACACCCTGCGCTCCCTAGGACGGCTGGAGGCCAAGCAGTGAGGCCCGAGTGCCAGTCCCCTTGGACACCAAAGGTGCAGGCAGAGCTGTGGAGACGGAGGTTCTGAGATGTCTTTCTGAGAGAAAAATCCCACATAGGCCTTTGTGATTCTCAAATCCACCTCTCGCTCAGAGAGGAACTTAGAGGGGAGACCGGTTAAGGTCTTCCCACCACTATGTGTGTGAGGAGAGAGGATGAGGCGGCTGCAGGAGGGTGCACAATGAAACTGGTGGGGACCCTGGACGTCTGCAGCAGCAGGCAGTGAGTGCTCTCCAGCTTTGCACTGAGGTGCAGGAAGGGTGAGGAGAGGATGGGAGAGAAAGTGAAAGGGGTGGGGAGGGAGGGGGGACAGATATCCATCATGGCCTCTCCTGCAGGGGAGCCGCACGCACGTGCTGTGACTTGGATGCAGCCCTACAGGCAGGGTGCGCATGTGTGTCAGAGACGGAGCTTTATATGGGGAAAGGGCACCTGCTAAAATATTTATAAATTTTTCAAGAAAACATGCTTTAAAAATGAAAAATAAACAGATGTACAAGTGCAACTTGAGAGAAATACATTATGCAAGTTTGCAAAGGCTACGTGGTGTGCCGGAGACGGCGGGGAGAGGGGAGTGAGTGCGTGGGTGTGGGGATGTGTGGGTGGGACCAGAGTCACCCACGCTGCAGCCAGCTGGCCAGCTCAGACCCGGAGTGTGTGCATGCGTGCGTGCATGTGTGCGTGCGGGCGCAGCCAGAGGGCGGCGGGTAAGAAACCAAGGACATCCAGGCTGTGTAAGCTGGAGCTTCTGGGCTGTAATCTGGACGTCTGTAGACCGAGAGGCAACATGGCCCAGCCCCACGAGGGAACCTGTCTTATATTCTGCCACATCGTTGGCCAAGCCACCGACTCTCGTCCTGGGCACTTCCGAGGGTGAAGAAAAGGAAACGCTGTGTGTGATAGTGTTTTGGCCTGGTGCAGGAAAGGCAGCCTACATCAGGACGGGGTCAGGAGCACGAGGCTAGCTGTAGATTGACGAGCATGTCATGCTCATTTGGCAGTGAAAGGCAGCGTACTATTCAAGGGGTTTCTAAAAAAGTTGGGGGAGAACACGGAGATGCCTTCTTGCTTTCCCAATTGAACAATATTAGCAAAGTGCTTCAGACTGGTGTGTGGCTTAGACTTCATTATTTGTTTAGTGTCACACGATCGCCGGAGAAGAGTGCTAACTACAGAAATCAGGCATTTCTCAAATAAGGGTGAGGAGAGTTAGCCCACTGCCTACAGAAGAGCAGAGAGCCGCAGCTCCTGTAGATGCATGCCTGAGACCTCCACAATTTGCACCTGCGGGCTCAGGCCTGCCTGGCTCCCTACCAAAGTCCAGCAGGCTTCCAGGAAGCCCACACTCGCTAGCCATTTAACATGGCTTAAATTAAAGCACCGTCTTGTTGTTGTTAAAACAGCATTAAAGAAAAATTGGAAGGAAAGAAGGAATTCATAATCCCATGGCCCACTCATAGTTTCCAATACATTTTAGGGCAGCAGACACTTCCTCAGAGGCTTCGGTGGGTCAGCACTGATCGTGTAACTGTGCATGTCACGAGGAACCTGCAGGCTCGGGCAAAGGGCTGGGGAGGCAGACGCACACATGCAATGAAGACTAATGAGACAGGCACGGAGGTCAGATCGCCGCTCCAGGGGCAGGTGCTCAGCCTTACCACGGACTCAGGAAAGGGCCTTCCTGGAGAGTCTTAAAGAATAAAGGATAGAGTCAGAGAAGAAAACAGTGGAAGGGTGTCCAAGGTAGAAGAGAAACAGAGGCACAGGCATAGAGGTATAAAGAGTAGGAGATGGTGGAGGAAGAGCAAACAGTTTGATTTTATTAGGGGTCAAGTTCTGGGGAGGGAGTGGGAGGATGTTGGAGGGTGGCTACACACTGACTCATGGAGAGCGGTGTGTCTTGCTAAGGAGCAGAACTTTATTGGCGATAGGAGCAACTGATGATGGGCAGGTGTTTCCTGCTTGGTGGGTGTTAATTAAATTAAATAAAAAGACTCTGGGGTCCAGGACCATCTCGGTAACATGTAGCATTTATTCATGCTTTTCAAATGTCCCATCTTCCTCTTTCTCGGGCTGGCATGAGGAAATGGGCTCACCAGGAGGCAAAGGGCTGTTGCCTACAGTCCTCAGTGGAGGACAGCAGATCAGGACTGCATTACGGGCCTCCCTCCTCACCTCTCACAGACACAGCACCTGAGCTGTTTCCAGTCTGTGGCCAGCAGAAAGGCTGAGCTGCATGAGGTTGCACTGGTTGCCTTCAAAGTTACAGTCAGAATCAAGGCCACCTAGATTTACTTCCTGTAGCTTTAGGTTGCTTATCGGGGAGAAGTGGGCACAGAGGTCCCAGTCAGGGGCGCTTAGGGGATAGGAGCTTTTTCCCTGAGACAAATACTCTCATGCAGAAGGAAGACGTGGCAACCTCTTTGAGGCAGAATTGCAAAATCAAAGATCCTGGGGCTGTGAAGGGCTTCAGAAGATCAGGGTAGGTTAGAGGCAGGCGTCCTACCTTTAACCTCCACTCTTCTGGGGGGGGGGCGGGGGGGGGAGAGAGAGAGAGAGAGAGAGAGAGAGCGCGAGAGAAATAGTAAAAACACAAGGTTTGGGCCCTGGCTAGGTTGCTTGACTGGATGGAGCATTGTTCTGTGCACCAAAAGGTCTCGGGTTCGATTCTGGTCAGGGCACAAACCTAGGTTATGGACAGATGACTCTCTTTCTCCCTCCCTCCTTCCTCTCTCTCTAAATCAATAAATATATCCTTTGGGGAGGATTAAAAAACCCCAACAACACAAGATTTGGAATCAGCAATGGGGAGTTAGTAATCCCTCTGTACTCTTGTTTTTGCCTCTGTAAATGAAGATAGCATAGTACCTAAGTCGTAGGGTTGGTGTGAGGATTAAATGTAATCATCTACAAAAATACTTTATAGTTGCCCCTGGTCCATGCATGCATGCAATAAATGCTAGCTACTAGAACGTGCAGAATGGAAAATAGAACAGAACTACTCTACATAAACCATCGGCATGTAATTACACACACACAGACACACCCACTGCAGATAGAAAGCTATTACTTTTGTTAAGGGACTTGTTCAAAAATAAACCCAAACGTCCCTGAATGGTGGCCCTTCTCTCTACTTCTCTAGTTTTCACGACTGTAACTTTGCATCAGTCCCGGTCCCTCCAGGCTGCAGATAGCAACGGACGGGCCGACTCACCAGTTTTCGGATTTCACATTCTAAATTCTGAATACAGTCCAGTTTCCTCTTGCGGCAGCGCTGGGCTGCGATGCGGTTCTTGCTGCGCCGCCGAACGTCGTGAATAAATTCTAACTGTTCTGAGGTTAGTTTGTGCATCTTAATCATCATCTGGAAATCGTTCCTCGGAAGATCTGTGATTTGATCTACAGGAAAGGGAAGTTTGACCTGAAACCGAGAATAACAAATAATGATTCTGGCAGCTGGATTTTAGTTCTAATTCTGGCAGATAGAATATCAACACACGGTAAAACCTTTTTAAGATGACCAAGGAATATGGAAACTACTGAAAGCAAGCTGTGATTATTTCCAGTTTCAAATATAAATAAGATGTAATGAGCAGATAGTCAGAAAGAAAGTGATCACACAAATTATACTGTGGTTATTGTCCCTGAGGTTTTTGAAGCAAGCAGCATGGAAAATGTTGGAAAATGTGGCCTTTTCATCGCTACAGCACTTACATAACAAGGGCTCCCTAGTCAGTTGAAACCTATTTCCATTGAGCCTCAACTCAATAAAGTGACTATTTATAGAAAGAGATCACCCAAAGAATGACCTAAACCGCCACACACCCTGCAGATGCTGGAAAGATGGAACAATCAGCATGATGCTTACACGGCGTACAGCAGGGGGGCACAGGGGGATGATCTGCACAGGCTGCACCAGCATGGACAAGCAGTTAGAACTGGGCTTTTGTCCTTCCTACCAAGCGCGAGACCACAGACAAGTTACTTTACTCCTTCAGTCCTCGATTTCCTCATCTGCAAAATGACCAAGGCTTTTTTAGTCTCACAGTGCTCTCCAAGTGTCAGGTGCTTCGGCAGACAGCATTTCCCAAATACTGTTGTACAGCCATTCCACCTCACATTTTCTTTTACAACACAGTATGGACCTTCCTCCATCAAGAGGATGCACGTTCCTGCCTCAACTGACACAGCAAAGCAGGCGTGGTGGTGTGTGTAACTTCGGGGGTGAGGTCTTCCAAGGGCTCTCAGCTTTCTCTTAGGCCTCCTAGGTTGCGCTTTCTGGAGGAAACCAGGTCTGCCTCTAGCCCACAGCCAGCATCGCTGTGCCAGTCATGGGAAAGCGCCACCTTGGGTGTGGGTTTTCTGGGCCCAAAGCTTCAAATAACTGAAGCCTCAGCCAGCATCTGATTTCCACATCATGAGGTTCCCGAGCCAGACGTGCTCAGATGGGGCGAGTCCGAATTCCTGACCCACAAAACAGTGGGAGTCATTAAATGATTTCTGCTGTTTTAAGCCATAAAGTTGGGATAATAGATACTGTCATTAGCAGCGTTCCTACTTTCATACTCTTGACAAATCAAAGCAAGTCATCATTATCCAAAGAGAGGACACTAGTCTTTCGAGGAATGGAGCTGTGTACTCCTAATTTTGTTAAATGCTTGCCTACAATCCTGAAGCGGTTTGAAATGCTTAGACCACAGCTGTCTACGACCTCCTTAGCACCCAAGAGGTAAACACTGGCCTGCCCCTTCCAGAAGTTTGACAGAACTCTCTCCATGACCCTTACTCATGATGCAGGGGCTTCGGGGTTCAGTTCTGGTTCAGTTTCAGAAGCTCCTGGAAAAGGAAGGTTGCCTGTTGCTCTGCCAAGAGATGTGTTTCCCAGCGCACACTGCTTCCTTCTTGCTTACATCAGTGACTGCCTTAGATGGACCAGCAGATGGCGCCCTAAACCAACACCTCCTTCAAGCGCCAGCCCAGCGCTGTCCAATGCAAACAATGCCAGCTGCATTTGTGATTTTACATTTTCTAGTAGCCGCTGATTAAAAGAATTAAAAGAAGTGAAAACAGGTGAAATTATATTTTATTAATATATTCAACTGAACCTTACAGTCCAAAATATTTTCAACATGGAATTAATATAAAATTATTGTGATATTTTACTTTTGTGGGGGGTACTACATTTTCAAAATCCAAGGAGCATCTTACCCCTCCAACACATCACCAACCAGCCACAGTTCTAGGGCTCAATAGCCATGTGTGGCGTGTGGCTATGGTAAGGACGGCATGGCTCTAGTGGACTGAAGAAATGGGCTCGAGTGAACCTGAGGAATCAGAAAAATAGGCAGGTGGGTCTGAGTTTAATTGATCAAACTATTTGTGTGTGAAGAAACCAAGCCCTCATTACTATTCGGAAGCTGCAGTATTATGTGTGTGTTACTCATGGGAGGGAGATGAAGCTATTTTATTCTGAGTGCGGGCTTTTTCTTTGATTGCATCAGATGCAGGCAGACATGAGCCCAGATCCTGGCATTTGTGACTCGTTAGCCCCCGTGCACAAAGGCAATCACACTACACTATCACTCGGCTTTGCTATGGCTCGGTGCAACTGCTTTGTCAGGTTACTTCATAGCTCTGAGCCTGCTGGACATGGCATTTGCTGAAGGCTCCCAGTGGGTGCTCTGATTCAACTCTGTCCCATGACACCAGTGAAACTTCGGCCCAAGAGAACAAGACCACGGAGCCACACGTTACACCGATCTCAGCTAAGCTCGGTCCTGCTCTGACTGCTAAAAACAGGCAGCCAGGACAAACAGCTCCTTGTTATGGGCCCGGGAAAGGGCTTTGTCCATGGGGCTATGTTTGCACAGGGCTTATACTGATATGAAAGAATGTTTGATTTCCCTTTACACCCTTCGGATAACAAACAGACACTCAGATCCTGGATGGTGCCTAAATAACACAGAGGTCTGTCTGTTGGGGACACGGATGTTTCCACACCAGGCAGAAGCCTTGTTTGCACAGCAGACGTTGCAGCGCTTCTGGGCCCTGTGGAGTCTCCCCTTCTGCTGACAACAAAGCCATTCTGCTTCTGCTCCGGACTGGGTTTACTTGTTTCAGAAAGAATGTATACCTATCGTTCCGGCCACAGGGAAAGTCAAAAGGCCTTCCACACAGAGAGTTACTATATTCAAAAGCATCCAGGCGGTGAATATAAAACACTAGGGAAATAGGACAGAAGTTGACAGGAAAGAGGAAAAATCAACAATGCTTGGTTTCAAAGTCCCTGCAGCAAAAGGCCACATAACATTTCAGCAGAGCTGTTGCAACTCCAGCTGGTCTTTAAAGAGGTCAAAGGAAAAGAAAATAGTCTGCTGCACACTCTCTGCAATGTGGGGGAAAAAAGCAACAAAACAAAACCCAACCACTCTTGTTCCTTTTTAAAAGGCTCTGTTACTCCTCTAGCAAGGGAGAACTTCTACTGACTACCAAGAGGAAGTCCCAGAGTGTTCTTGGGAAGGCGCAGTGGGAATGCACCACACTGCTTGTTCTTTTTGCAGAAGTTAAGTTCCAGGTCCTTGGGCACAGTTCCTGGAGATGAAAAGCAGCCATGGCCTCTTCCGGAGCTGGGAGCGTGTTCCAATCTCAGGCTCCCAGGCTCCCAACACTCTTCAGATGGGGCTGAAAAGTCAGCTAATGCTACTAGGCCTGGATGTGTTGAAACACACCAAGAAGGCTGATGCCCTTCTTCCTGTCTTCTGGTGAATTCTTACAATTCTAATACGGTTGTAATTTATTGTCCTTCCACACACCTATCTTCCAAGATTTAACTTCTCAGGTGGTTTGGTTTTCATTCACTGGGCTCTCATATATAGTGCAAAACACCCAACTTGACAAGATGAAGATCCTGCCAACTACCACCACCCTGCCTGAATGGCCAGCCTGCAGCTGCATTCAGCCAACCACATGCACAGGAGACTAAGCACGTAAGGCTACGCAGGCTGCACAGAAGGGGAACGACCCCTGAGATCCAGGGCGCTGATTTCTCTTCAGGCTCTGGGCAGCTGCATAGGTGCTGCCCAAGCTTTGGTTCTCTAAACTCTGAGAGTCAGGGCAGCTACCAAGCCAGCAAGCCGAGGGCCAACCGGCAGCCGGAGCTGGCCAGGGCCACACTTGCCTACTCTGCCCTTATTGATTTGACCCAGCTCCTGCAGCGTGCTCACGCTTCTCTTCCTTCTCAGCACTATGGGAAGAATAGGGCAAAGGAGGTTTTTTCAGCCCAGAACCTACACTGGCTGGCTAAGTGGGAACCAGAGGAGCGTTAGACCAGGTGTTGATCAGTCAGTGGAAACGAGTGGCCATGCCATGTGCTGAGGGATCTCTGGCCCCAGAGGCTGGCAAAGGTGGGAGAATGCTGTGTGGCATCCAGAAGGTGAACGAAACCCAGGTGTTCCTCTTCAAAGGCCTGTGAGGGAATGCCAGTGCTTCTCTCTCACCAAACACAGATCACCTGCTCCACTTCCCTCCTCTGCCAACAACTACCCGACTTCTGCAGCCAATACATCCCTCTCTCCCAGTTAAACAAAAATATCACTTAAAAAACTATATGAGAGCACTGGCTGGTATGGCTCAGTTGGTTGGAGTGTCGTCCCTACATATCAAAGGGTTCGGGGTTCGATTCCCAGTCAGGGCACCTGCCTAGGTTGTGGGTTCAATCCCCGGTTAGGGTGAGTATGGGAGGCAACCAATTGAGGTTTTTCTCTCTTTCCCTTCCTCTCTCTCCAAAGTCAATAAACTTATTAAAATTTAAAAAAAAATTACATGAGCAATATAACTTCTTGCAGAAAATTCAAATATGAGACAAAAGAGGGGAAAACGACTCTTACCCCCAAACAATACTCTCTTGGTCTGGTGGACTTCCCTGTGATCTCTGTTTCCTCTGAATATCTTACAGGGTTTTGGTCAGATGTGCTGTAATCGTCTCACGGTGTCTCTCAACACACCTCACTTGTTTGGTCTCTCTGGCTGGCTGGATGGGGGCTCTTGGAGGAGGAGGACAGAGACAAAATGTTGCAGAAACAAGCGTCTGTTTCCTCTAGGGATCCCAGCAGAAGCTGGTGTGTGAGTCTTCTTTGCTATCTCCTTTCTTAGTTTCAGTACCAAGCATTGAGTAGAAGCCACGGGAATCGAACCTGCTCACAGTATTCTGAGGCTCTGATGGTGCTGCCGGCTCTCTAGAGCCTCTAACACCTATGCTCTTCCAAGACCCTCAGCCCTCCGTGAGTTGTCTAGGGAGGAAGCCGATGCCCATCGGGGCTAATGGTCCCAGGGCTGCTGGTGTGGGGAGAGCCAGCTCAGCTCTGTGCAGCTGCCAATGACAACACTGCCTCTCCCAGACCAGGAAATGTTTCCTGCACGACT